AGGCTGAGAATAGGAGGATCAGTCTTTGAGGCCAGTCCGAGTAGTAGAGTTTACAAGACTCTTCTCAACCCATAGCAAGGCACAGTGGTGTGCACCTGCCATCCCAAGTTATCTGTAGGCCTCTGTTTCTATGGAAGTAAAGCTAGTTGTGGGGGGCATCTGGAGGTTTATTTACCACTGGAAGCCTAAAGTAGATAGATGGTAGATGGACAATCTGGTGGATAGCTGGGAAAGGAAGGAGGTAGATCCTCTCCTCAAAGGAAACAAGGTTACATTGGGTGGAGAAGGCCGGGAGGATGCTGGCTCAATCGTATACCAGTACTGTAAAGAGAGAGAGAGAGAGAGAGAGAGAGAGAGAGAGAGAGAGAGAGAGAATAGATCTGCTCAGTTTTTTTTTGACCATAAGATGTAGAAGTGATGTTTGGTTACTTGAAAAATTAGATCCTAGAAGGTAATAGAGCTCCTATTTGGGTCTCTCTTGGGATCCTTATCTTTGAACCCCAGCAATCATATTGTGAGGGAGATAGGCAGCCATATGGAAGGGTATTGCAACTCAATCTCCAGCTAACAGTCAACATCAACCTCCAGATTCAGGCCTGTGGACTCCCTGAAGATGATGCCAACCTTCAGCCTTCCATCCATCCCCCCCCCGCCCCCTCCCGATGTCAAGTAGAAGAGAAACAAAATGTTCTCACTCTGCTGTGGGGCCAAACTGAAATCTATAACCAAAACAAATGGCATCGTTGTTTTAAGTTACTCTGGTGGATGATTTGTTATGTAGCCACTGGAAAACATATTGAGTTTCTTGCTTCTATTTGCTCTTCTGTCAGCCATTAAAGTCACTTTTAACAAGAAAAGCAATTTAACAACCATTTAGCAGTGATTATGTCTACAGTGATTCATGTTAGGTTATCTGACTTGCACATAATAATTGCTATGCTCTGGGTCACTGATCAGTGTGTGATTGTTTCACTTGTGCCATGTGATTTTTTTTTTAATTTATGAAAGGAAGACATACCCATGAGTATTCAATCTGTGTGTGTGTGTGTGTGTGTGTGTGTGTGTGTGTGTGTGCGCACGCGCGTGATGGTCCTGTGCCTTGAACTCAGGGCCTGAGTGCTATTCTTTGAACTTTCATGCTCAAGGCTAGCACTCTTACCACTTGAGCTAAACCTCTACTTCTGGATGTTTTTCTGTAGTTTTTTTGGAAATAAAAGAGTCTTGCAGACTTTCTCTCTGAGCTGGCTTCAAATTGCAATCCACAGATGTTAGCCTCCTGAGCAGTTAGGTTTACAGGCGTGAGCCATTGGTGCCTGGCTGAGAATGTAAACTTTTAGTTTAAAAAAAGTCCTAAGCTAGGTGCCAGTGGCTCAAACCTGTAATCCTAGCTAGTCAGGAGGATGAGATCTGAGGATCATGATTCAAAGCCAGGCTGGGCAGGAAGTCCGTGGCTCAAGTGGTAAAGCACTCTTGAGCTGAAGAGCTCAGGGACAGCATCCAGGCCCAACGTTCAAACCCCATGACCTACAAAAATGTCCTAATCCTCTCTTAATCACTTATTTTTTTTCTAAAGTCACCATATCAAATCTAATGTGTATCCTTTCACTCCTTTCTCTACTCATATATATATCTTTGCACATGCATGCACACGCACATACACAGACACACACAAAGAACATGTCTTAGATATTTCTTTTACGTATCTGCATGCACACACACACACATCCAAAGAATATGTCTTAGAGTTTTCTTTCAACAAACTTGGTAGTATAGGCTGCAAGATAATGAAAATTAAGCAATTGTGACTCAGAAATGAAGATGATAATGTGATGACAATGGTTGAGTTTTCTGAGCTCTTACTGTGTGCTGAGCACAATGCTATTTTACTGCATTTTTTTCATTTAATGCATTGCCTATTAAAGCTCATATAAATCTCTAAGGAAAAAGAATGTCACAAATAAACTCAGAAGGAATATAAATTTAATACTCCTCAAATCTTGTCAAACCTAGAGAGATGAATTATTAACCTCTTCTATGGATGAAAAAGACTTCATAAAAGTCTTTTTTTAAAAAATGTTTATTTATTACTTATTTATGCAGTGCTAAACATCAGAACCAAGGCCATGCTCGTGCTAGGCAAACATTTTACCATTGAGTGGTATCAACAGTCTCAAACACCTCTAAGAAAAATCAGTTTAAAGTATTAAATAAGAAAAGATGTCTGCCAGACCCAAAAGAAAAGTTTCCCTCATTTGTAATAACTAGAATATATCTATGATAGTCATTTTTTTTCCGGTCAGTCATGGGGCTTTAACTCAGCTGTTCAGCTCAAGGTGAGTGCTTTACCACTTGAGCCACAGCACCACTTCCGGTTTTCTGGTGGTTTATTGGCGATAAGAGCCTCATGGACTTTCCTGCCCAGGCTGGCTTTGAACCATGATCCTCAGATCTCAGCCTCTGGAGTAGCTAGAATTACAGGTGTGAGCCACCGGTGCCCAGCTATCTATGATATTCTCAACAGGAAACTCAATAGCCCAAATATAAGAGGTTCTTATGTCCTGTTTGTAGTTACATCCTTTTATTTTCTTCCCTGTTTTAGCCTTCTGTACCCTTTATCTTGTATATAAGTTTATCTGATTCATGGAAGGGAAAGGGAATCAGAAATAGCAGGACAAAGGATGAACTAATGCAATGATACCCACTTGACACTATGTTAGAAATGAACAGTTCTAACTCATCAAACCTAAGATTGATGATCCATCCTACTGACACACACACACACACACACACACACACACACACACACTTTTGTTCTTATATTTTCTCTGTGGTATCATTATGTGACTGGTTGTGAGAACTTCAGTCAGATCTGGTAATATATTAGACTCTACCCTTAATTGACTATCCTTAATTTAAATTCATGAATATCTTTAAAATCTCTCCATTCTTTTTCATTGTTTTATTGTTCAGCCACTAATGCAAATATTAAGCATGTTTTACACAGAATATTGGAATAAGTACTTATTGGATCTCAACTTCCTACTTGGGTAAATACCAACATCTTCTCTGTGCTGTGGCTGAGCAATCTTTTCAAAATATAATCTCACCACTTTCCTCCCAGGTTTAAAACTTCTCAATGGGCTGAGCATTGGTAGCTTGTGCCTGTAATCCTTTCTACTCAAAAGGCTGAGATCTGAGGATCCCAATTCAAAGCCAGCCGAAGCAGGAAAGTCTATGAGATTATTACCTCCAATTAACCATCAGAAAACCAAAGGTGGAGCTGTGGCTCAAAGTGGTAGAGTGCTAGCCTTGAATAATATTTTTTTTAAAAAGCTCACGAACAGTGTGCAGGCCCTGACTTCAAGTCCCACAAGTAAAAAACAAAACAAAACAAAACAAACAAACAAAAACAAAGAAAACCATTCTCAATGGAACTGTCTTACTTTTAGGATAAAAATCTACATTCTTATCTTGGTTTAGAAACCATACATGGCTCATACTTGAGCTCATTACAGGCTCCTCTTTCTCTCAGCTTTCAGTCATACAGCCTTTAATTTCCATCAAATATACCAACTTCCCTTCTACCACAAAGCCTTTGCATGAGCTATAACTTCTGTCTAAAATGTTGTCCCCTTAATCTGGTAACCTCCTTTTGCACTGATCTGAAATACTAGCTGACCCTGAGATCTAGTTTATGTTCCTTTATTTTACTCTACCATAATGCCACATTCCACTTCTAAATACCCTTATCCCATTTTAATTTAAAATTAACTTTAATTAATTTTAAAACATGTATTCCTCCAATTTGATGGCAAGCTCTTGGACATCAAGGGCCAATGATGTGCTAGTGCCAGCTCAAACTGGTTTGTAAATGCTGATTAGGTCAATATCTTCTAATCCTGTAGAATCTGGAGAGCTTCAGACTCCCTCTGATATGAGTATTTATGCCACCCAAACTGGCAAATGCTAATAATAGTCAGAGTTTTTATTCCTGGAAAGTCAAATATTAAACATGTACCAGGAGTGACAGCGTTTCATTTCCTCATTAATACATCTCCAGCACCTATAACATGGTCCACTACCTGGAAGACTTATAATAAATATTCATTGAGTAAATGAATGAATGCTCCAATCACAGCTCAAATAGTGTTCTGATTGATCCACACTTGTGAAGAATGTGACCTTCCAGTTTTATTAATGGGCATGCTTTCAAAACGTAGCTGTGATCTGTTCTTTGTTTCCAGGCATTTCTTTATTTGAAAAACTGGGTTACCTTCCATTTTAGTAATCAGCACCGATGACCTAACTGAAGCGTGTGATACATTAGAAGAACCAGTTCCCCAGTGACCAGTGAGTCACGCCAGGAAACATATAAGCCTTGCCATCAATCAGTATCATCTTTTCCACCCCTCCCACTCCCTCTTTTTGCAACATTAGAAGTAGCAACAATTTTCCAGAAGTTGACATACACAGTAATATATATATATATACACACACATATATAATACATATTTATGGACTATGTGTAAATTCCACCAAAAGTTCAGCATTGAACACAGGCAAAGGTTTAACTTTCTGGTGGAACTTACACATGATAAAAAGCTTTTTATTTTTTGTGTGGAACTTACACATGATAAAAAACAAAACCCTTTTTATTTTCAGCAACAATAGTGAATGTTGGTGAGTAAGATAGAAGAAATTAAGTGGCATGAAATCTAACCAGGAGCAAAATCCAGGCTTTAAAGTCTGTCATGAAGATTATAGCTGCAAAATTGTCACTCCAAGATTAATGGACTTCACAGAAAATAAAAGCACCTTATGCCCTTTAGGCCCCAAAGAGCCAAGAAAGTGCAGTAATAATTTGGTGGAGGACAAAGAGAGTCCTCAAGAGTAAAACAATAGGTATTGTTTAACGTTATGACATGCTCTGAGTTTCAGCTCACTGACAACTATGATTTATAAGACGATAGATGTCCAAATGGCATTTCCCCAAATTCCATCTCTGCTTAAAATACAAGTGTCCTTTCAAAGCAGGTTGATCTTCTCAGTTAATTTATTTATGTAGGTTCCAAGTAATTCTGTCAGGCGAGTCTGGTAGGAGGGAGAGGAAACAAAGGAGATGAAACAGATTAGTAATCCTCCCCCGCATCTCTCTTTTGGTGCCAGTCCTGGGGCTTGAACTCAGGGCCTGGGTGTTGTCCCTAAGCTCTTTTGCTAAGGGCTAGTGCTCTACCACTTGAGTGACAGCTTTATCTCATGCTGTTTTAGTGATTAATTGAAGCTAAGACTCTCATGGACTTCCCTGCCCTGTCTGGCTTTGAACCATGATTCTCCCATTTCAGCTAGGATTATAGAGCCAATGAGCCTCATACCAGTGAGCCACTGGTACCTAGCAAAAATGAACAGTATTTGGTTGAATATCCTTTTCACTTCTGAAATTCCAAGAGGTATAACAAATCTTTTGTCTGCTTGTATGAAAAAAAAAGCCTCATTAGTTTTATAAAAATGAGTGGGGTTTTTGCAAAAGTCAGACCTCACCACTGACAGAGTAGCTACTCGGTGATTCATTGCTTCGGAGTCATATCAATCATTTCCACTACTGAAAATGCAGCTGCCATTCTTCAGGCATTGTCAGGGTCAAAAGAATTGAAAGCAGGCAGGAAAGTTGGGATGAAGCCTCACCTTCCTCCTATAGAAATCAGAGAAAGTGAAATTAGAATCACGTCTATGAAAATTTCTTGCCATTTCAAAGCTTGGTTGTGTTAGAAAATCAATTCATGTATCAAAATCTCATGTAGGACAAAAACTCTCCTTTCATTTCTAGGCAGTCATTTTTGTTACAAAAAGTAGACTCCATCAATAAGTATTGTTAATACCTCTGGGCCAACAGGAGCCTTCCATGTACATACCCTACAGCAGTGAGAGTCCAAAGCTCTAACAAGCCAGTTCCCAAAGCTCCTACTGTATATAGAAAACTACACTGGCAACCTTGGGGAAGATAGTGGGTTGCTGATACCATTTTTCAGTGTCTCCATTAGACAGAACTTAAACAGCAGGAACATGGTTTCAGAAACAAAACCAAAAAACAGGCAAGTTAGTAAACTAGGGGAATATGCCAGTGAAAGTGTAGTTGGAGAGAGGCTAGAGAAAATAATAGTGAACTTAAGTCCCTAAAACAAACAAAAAAACCCATAAAAACAAACAAGAAAAAGTGAGTCACTGGTGCCTCAGGCCTTCAATTCTAGCTACTCAGAAAGCTGAGATCTATGGATCACTGCTGGAAGCCAGTTGAAGCAGCAAAGTTTATGAGACTTTTAACTCCAATGAAGCACTAAAACAGCTAGAAATGAAGCTGTGACTCACACTCAAGTGCTAGGGTGACAGCCTTGAGGAACTCAGGGACAGTAAGTACCCAGGTCCTGAATTCAAGCCACAGGACTGGCGCGCACGCGCGCGCACACACACACACACACACACACACATACACACACACACACACACAC